GAGAGAGAAGAGAGAAGAGAGAGAAAGAGAGAAAAGAGAGAGAGAGAAGAGAGAGAAGAAAGAGAGAGAAAAGAGAGAGAGAGAAGAGAGAATGAGAGAGAAGAGAGAAAAGAGAGAAAAGAGAGAGAGAAGAGAGAGAGAGAAGAAAGAGAAAGAGAGAGAAAAGAGAGAGAGAGAGAGAGAGAGAGAGCACTCGATGCCCGTGTTTTGCTACAAAACTGTGGTCGGGCTTAGTTTTTTGGGAGCGAAATAAGGGAGGAAAAATTCTGCCTCTGCCTACCACCATCCATCGGTATTCATCTGGCTAGCGTCCTGTCAGTGTGTGACAGAGTTGAGGGCTGTTTGGAAACTGAAACAGTATTTGCTGTGTGAGCAAGGAGACAGCAAGGAGCCTGGGCGTGGCTTAGCTCAACTGTTCTGTACTAAAGCTGCTTGGTGCTGTGAAACTGAAACTGATACTGAAACTCCTCTGCTTGTGTTTTGCAGTTGGAACAGGTTTCTTTTTTTCAGGCGGGGAGGGGGAGTAGAACTCCTTAGCATCAGAGCGTGTTAATAATAATAATAATACTAATATTATAGGAAATACTAACACTCTGATGGTCATTTCGAAAAATCCTTTCTTAGTGAGCTCCTAGAAGCCAAGAGGAACATAGGTGCCAAATTTCAAGTTTGTAGGCTTTACGGTCCTGGAGATTTTGTGATGATGCGTGAGTGCTTTTTCGCTTATATACAGTATATATATATATATATATAATTTAAAAAATAAGTTGGCACAATTAAAGGAAGGCGGGAACCAAAGGATCTTTGATTCATGAAGAAGTATGTGTCTTTTGGGGAGCCGAAAGAGGGGAAATCGGCAAAAAAAATAATATTTGCTCAACAATTAATTGGGTGACTCACCATTTCAAAAGCTTTTTGTTCTTGTTTAGATTCCGCTCCTCGTCACCCATCAAGTCCAGGACGGCCGCCGAGGCCTGCTGTTCAAACGCGGTGCCTTCTCCTCCAACACAGAGCCTGCAAAATTAGGTGGGGGGGAGGAATATGTTCAGTCACAGTTGCCCTCTTGTGGTTTTGGAGATCCTGCATAAGACCTGGCAGCTTCAATTCCCAGAATCCTCCAGCCTGCATGTTTTAAACCCTGTAGATTTCAACCCCAAAATTAAAGCATGTTTTAAGACCTGGCGGCTTCAATTCCCAGAATCCCCCAGCTTGTATGC